TTCGCTGCATTTCCGCACCTCTTGTTTTTCCCTTGGACCACGCCAAAATGGCTTCTCTCCGAACCCCAACCGTCCAAAACCCCTCCCTCTCTCCCTCCTCCAAAACCCGTCTTCCCTGCGCAACTTCCTCCTCCAACAACCTCCGCTTTTCCCCGGCTCCGCACCGACGCCTCATCATAGTCTCCTCTTCAGCGTCTTCCAACAAATCGACGGTACTCGTTGCTGAAAAATTTGGTGAAGCTGGTATCGCCGCTTCCCGCAAACCGACAGTACTTGTTGCTGAAAAGCTTGGAGAAGCTGGTGTCGAGCTTCTTAGGAAGTTTACCAACGTCGTATGTGAGTACAACCTCTCCCCTGAGGAGCTCTGTGCCAAGATCTCTCTCTGTGATGCGTTGATCGTGCGGAGCGGCACCAAGGTGACTCGTGAGGTGTTTGAAGCGTCTGGAGGAAGGCTCAAGGTCGTTGGGAGAGCTGGTGTGGGGATTGACAATGTGGATCTGGCTGCTGCTACTGAGTTTGGTTGCTTGGTTGTCAATGCGCCCACTGCCAATACGGTTGCGGCGGCTGAGCACGGGATCGCGCTCTTGGCTGCCATGGCCAGGAACGTGGCGCAGGCTGATGCTTCAGTGAAGGCTGGTAAGTGTTGCTTGATATTGTGATAATTTCCTTTCCTGTTGAGGATTGCATAGATCTGGATTCTGAATAATCCTTGATAATCTTGGAGAGTTGGCGGGTAAATTCTCCTTGATCGAGAATAAGAAAAGGGAATTGAAAAAGGTTCTTGTTTTGTTGTCGTGTCAATAGCGAAAGTCTATTTGTTATCTGATCTTGTTGGTCTAAAAATGTACTTTGCTTGCATGCTGAATTTCAGTTAAGGAAGGTGAATGCATAATTAAAGTAAGGAACTTTGGGTAATAAAGCTAAGATCTGGTTGGCTATTACTTCTATCTATATTCAATTTTTTTTCTAATAACTTTCCCATTGTGTAATTGTAGGGAAGGTTAAGGACAATAGATTAAGAATTGAAACGAAAATTCCTTGATGAGACTTGAGCTACAAAATTTACTTGAATTTCTCTTGAGAAATTTTCGTTTGGTCTGTCTATGGTTGATGCAATTACAATAATTACAATTTTTTATTAGAAAGATAATCGTGTTTACTAGTTTTGGGAAAGGATTTGACTTAATACCCATTGTTGGCAATATACAGGTAAGTGGCAAAGGAACAAATATGTTGGTGTATCCCTTGTTGGTAAGACCCTTGCTGTAATGGGGTTTGGAAAGGTTGGATCAGAAGTTGCAAGGCGAGCCAAGGGACTTGGCATGCATGTGGTGGCCCACGACCCATATGCTGCAGCTGATCGTGCCCGTGCAATAGGTGTGGATCTTGTGAGCTTTGATGAAGCCATATCTAGTGCAGATTTCATCTCCTTGCACATGCCTCTCACTCCAGCTACATCAAAGATCCTCAATGATGAAACTTTTGCAAAGATGAAGAAAGGAGTTCGAATTGTTAATGTAGCCCGTGGGGGAGTTATTGATGAAGAGGCTCTAGTGAGAGCACTGGATTCTGGAATTGTGGCTCAGGCAGCGCTTGATGTCTTCACTGAGGAACCACCTCCAAAAGACAGCAAGTTGGTGCAGCACGAGAAGGTTACGGTGACTCCACATCTTGGTGCAAGCACTGTTGAGGCTCAGGTGGATAGTGATGATTCAAAATTGGATCTAACCATGCTGCTTTCTTTCTGACTAATATTATGGAGCAACATATTGCTTTCATTTTCAGGAAGGAGTTGCTATTGAAATTGC